AATAAGCCAGGTTACCCCGTACGACAATTAGTAGATTTCAGAAATACTACTAATAATGAATTATCAAAACACTTAGCTCTAATATTAAGCCTCATTAGAAATCGGTCAAACTCTCGACTAACTAATTTATTTGAGATGAAAAATAAACTAAATCACATTCAACTAGAAAATGATGAAACAATGGTTAGTTTTTATATAACTAGTCTTTATACAAATATACCAATCAATATGCAGATCCTGAACTCACTCATAGGCCGAAGCTGCCCATTGAAGAAGTTATTTTAGGGATTCAGTTATGCCTCACATCTACTATCTTTAAATTCCAAAGCAAAATATATAGACAAACAGAAGGTGTAGCAACGGGATCACCGATATCCCCTATCGTAGGCAGTATTTTTATGGATAGCTGGGAAAATATTGCTCTAAATACATTTAATCCTACTCCAAAAATATGTTGAAGCTATGTGGATGACACTTTCACAGTGTTAAAAACAGAGCATATCTCTAGCTTCTTGACACATATAAACCCACTATTAGAGAAAATAAAATTCACATTTGAATCGGAAAATGAACAAGGAGAATTAGCTATGTTAGATTGTAAAATAAAACGAATAGAAGAAGGTAAAGCGAACACTAGTGTTTATAAAAAACCAACGCATTCTAATGGATATTTAGACTTTAATTCATCTCATCCGTTAACGGATAAGGCAGGCTTAGTTCAGTGTTTAACAAACCGAGCAGTAGCACTAAGTAGCACAAGAAAAGACCTAAATGACGAAATGAAACAGATAGAAGAAGCGTTGGTGTTAAATAACTATCCTGTAAAATTCATTAGGAAGCCCAGAAAAGGTCAAAAGCAAAATAAAAATAATTGTAAAACTAATAATGATAACGCAAATAAGAAAGAATTTAAGTCATCTACTGTTATACCATATAAGGAGGGAACATCTGAGACCCTACATAGGATTCCTAATGAAGCAGGAATTAGGCTGGCATTCAAACCTACAAGTCACTCAGGGATAAGCACTGTAGGTTAAAAGACCCAGCTGGATAAAATAATATTATTCACAAAATACCCTTCACTGACTGTGCATTTAGTCAACTACATAGGACAAACTAGTAGATCAGGAGTATTGAGATTATAAGAACATAAGAATTTAGCTAAGGTAAGAATGGTTGACCCCGAGAAGATAAGTAAAAAGATAAGAAAAAAGCTCAGCAATTGTACTACATTGCACTACACACAACCACAAATTAGAGTGGGACAGGGTTAAGATTCTGAGAAGTAATTTATGTAGGTGGAGAGAGAGATTGATTACTGAATCCTGGTTCATTGAGTCTACACCCAGCATATGCAGAAGAAATGACTCAATGCAAATATCAGAAATATGGAAGTTATTATTGCTATCGGTCAAATCAGAAGAGAATAATAAATAATCTCAACCCAAAATGTAGAAACAATAGACAAGCCAAAGACTACGTAATCTAACAAAGAAGGGAGCAAAGACATCCGGTTATCATGGTATGGAAAAACTAATAACTTCTTTCTTTTCAACACATCAATGGGGTTTCAAGCGTCTGAAAGCAGTTATCTCGGCAAACCTGAGGAGCACTGAACTATCATATCTGTTGGTAGTTTTGCGGAATTTCATGATTTGTTTCAACGAGATGAGTAGCAATGGCATTATTATAACGGGTGGTTCCTTTCAGATGTACAATTTTGGTATATGTTCAGAAAACCAGAGGTTCGTCCTTCCTTTTACTCTCCTAATGTAAGTACAACCGCGGATACGTGTATATTTGTGAACAAACTTAGAGCTAACAGAACCGCTGTTGGTGTATCGCTTTCTCTGTATTTCCATATTTTCTAACATTTTCATCCTTACAGATTTTAAATACTCATCTAAATTTCATCTTTAAAAATTCATCTGCTTAAAGTTATTTTGACCACTTTGTCTCGTATTTATAAACCATTGAATTTTCATAAATCACGCGTACCGAAAACAAAAAATTAGAGAATCAGACAATCAGCATACATATGAATGATTACAATTCACTAACCAGACAGCAGTATTTGTTGTTTTCATCTAAGCATGTAAATATTATACATGTTAGACTTTGATTTTAAGGACTTTGTTATTTACATCATTTCCATGAATCACTCGAATAAATGAAGACTATATTACAGAAAATCCCCATGGAGACATGTAGAAAGTAGAAAACAAGTGATTAGACAAAGTTTGTTGTTTTAAAATTTACGAAAAATAAAAATTACTTCAGTTTGTCACACGTATCATTTCACATGAAGTGATCCCTGTATAATTTGTACTTAAAACAGACAAATAGACAATGTTTAACATCATTTAGGAGGTGAAGGGATGTTGGCATTTACGCAAATTACAACGTATATACAAAGGCAAGTTTTTTATCCCCCAACTCTCATAGTGTTTCATCTGCTTAGACTGAAGGCAAATCAAAACACAAAATTGATCATCCAAAATACAAAATATATTTCATGATCAAAGTTGTACTGCGATGGTGGTTACTTACCTAGCTAGAGATTGCGCACGAATAAATGGACGAACGAACGTAACACGACAGCGTGCCAAATGGCCCTGATTTTTGACAGCCTACCTTTAGCTTCACAGATCAACTCAGAATAGTGAAGGTGAGCATCAGCTGTTGGGTGACAGATGCTGTAGGTTAGTAACTGTAGGGAATTATCTACCACTAGGAGCTAAAATGTCGATCTTGAAAATTCACAGCGTTTTATTACTTCAAAGTATAATTTCCATCTAAAATCGTTGTACATTTAAAGCATTATAGAATAGTTTTGGGTTATTTTTACCCCTTTCTAATTAAAATTGGTAAAATTTGAGATGGTAGTTTAGTGGTTCAACACTCACTACTCATAAGAAATTTCTAAGTTCGACACCCAGCTAGTGTAATATTGGGCCTTGCCTAGTTGATTTACTAGTAGTAGGCCCAGAAATTAGGGAAGATTAAACGTGAGGCCAGAAACATCACACTGTAAACACAAGGAATAATGCCACCGCTACTGAAACTTAAAGTTCTATCATTAATTGAAGCTCTCTGTTCCCTTTCGGAAAAGAGGAGTGAAAAAATAAATCAATGTTGACAACAAATAAGGTTGGAAAGTTCAGAAAGTAGACGAAAAATTCAAAATAGCTGTTTCGAAGCATGGAAGTCAAAGTAAATGAATTATCATGTGATGAAACTAATATTCGAACTTTCATAGTAAAACCTACAGCTTTTTGAAGTTTCCACAGAGATTGGATTGATCTTCCCAAGTAGTGTTGTTAGCTTTGTGCTTAACATTTCCTCTTTTCCCAGGATTGAGAATGATCATAAAACTACTGAAGTAGTGAACCTTCATTACTCTAAAGCCAGTTTAGAGATCTACCGCATTCAGCCCAAAGAATAGAATTCTGATTTTTAATAACGATGTTAAGTCAGTCAGTTCTTCTGTATGCGTCATGAAAAATACTTCCAACATGGAGACGTTCATCAACAGATGCCTTTGCTGGCCTCATAGTGAATATCAGTTGGCAGGGCAGAAAGAATTAGCAACAAGAAATTCTGGGAACAAAACAATCAAGAACCTACCACCCAACAAATATGCTGGAAAAGGTGGAAATAGAGTGAATACATGCTGCTAAGTCCACTGACTGACATCATGCGCCAGGCCCTCGAGTTCGGCCCCATTGAGAAACGACGAGTTGGGCTTGAGGGAGTGACATGGACATGATCATATAGGGAGACGAAACCTTATGGGCAATCGTACAGTCAGCTAAAGAGGACTGTAGAGAACAGGAAAAAAATTGAAACGTTCTATTGAAGCTTTAAATTCCATTAAGAACCCAAGGGAATAATAACGTGTTTTTTATATTGTAGCCACTGTAAGGATAATTTTTAACGGAGATACGACCTTTGCACTATTCAGTTCAAAATCCAAATCAAAACCGAATAGTTCTTAATAGATTTGATTTAGAAACCAAAATAGTGTTGGAAATACTGCAAAATCATCTGCTGGGAGAACTTATCCCCGTCTGTTAATCTTGTACTTAGGCACGAAGAAGAAATGTTAAGATAGACGGCCGAATTGCGAAACTGGCTGATAGAATCCACTCTGCACCAAACAAAGCAATGGTCACACGACACTAGTTACTACCTTATGTGCGGTCAGAGTACCTATTACAGTCTAAACGAGTTTAATCTCAAGTTCGAATAGTCCAGTGATAATGTCTCTGACTGCAGCATTGAGTGACACGGTTTTGAATCCCAGAGGGTAGATAACTTCCTTCAAATCACAGATACGTCTTTCTGATTGGTGAGTGCCATAAAATACGAAACTTAGGTCCAGGGCTATCTACCCATCGCCTCCAACCATCTAATAAGTGTTGATATGATTAGAATTGAAAATAACCAACAAATTATCAAAAAGAAATTCACTAAGAGAGCAAAATAATGATAATAATGACGGCAGAGGAAAACAAAAATTAAACACACCACACTGAGAAACGTTTGTGCTCATTTCGCTGCACAGAACACCAAAGGTAAGTCAAAAAATAAACTCAAGAACCATTCTCTAGTGTTTACACCGAAAGTACAAAAAGAAAATGAATTTCGATAAGATCTTGACCATCAGGAGCCGAAACATCAACCGGTCCATGTCTCTTCAACATGCACACCGAAATCACTGAATATACAACTGGTGTGAAAAATATATGTGTGGGGCGAAAACATGTCTGAAGTCATTGTAACAACAATAATAATTATCAAAACAAAAAACCTTTCTAGCTGAAGGCAGACTAAATACTTAGACTAAGTAACAACAGGAACAATCAACGGAGATCTTCATAATGTGCCTGCCGAAAACGTCTCTGTCAACAAGGTTGTGTTTCACTATTCTATGAACCGCATACATTTCCGAAATAAAACGTTTTTGATGTTTAACAGCGAACCCGTTAGACAGTTTTTTAAGGCCAAAAACCCTCTTTAAAAACCTTATTCATAATTGATTCCGTTAGTATATAGGCAACAGGTACATTTAATTGAAAATCTGGTAATTCAGCACAGACATTCCTGATACCCAAAGTTAATTGATCGATTGTCAAAACTACTGAAGAGCACAGTTCGCTTAATAAAGACATGATATGTTCACGAGCTAACTGAACACCGATTTCAATAGCCATCATAATTTTCTGGAAAATTGACACATGATGAATTTGCAGAGTAACTATTTCCAGCAATGCTGTAGGCGCTTCATCAATACCATCTAAAGAAATGAACGACTTCATAAGTCTTTCAGTTTTTCCCCAAAGTCTTTGCTGATTTAGGACCAGCAGGTAGGTTTTAAATATTATTTATTCTCAAATTCGGGATCCTTTTTCTGCTTTCTTTACAGCCTGTAATGCTAGAGTTTAGCAAGCTCATAAAGCATGTTTTAAAAAATTATTTAAAATCATTTATTCAAAATTTTATCAATGCTGTTAATGTATTTAGAACACGGAAGGGACACTTTTTACTTCAAAAGGATTACTGCTATTATCATGCTTTGAATGAAGCTTTGGACTTGTATACAGTAATTCTGTAATGTTTGTTTTTTATTATTATTATTATTCCCTTGGTTTCCGAGTGGAGCAGAGGGCCCCAACAGAACATTTCCACTTAGTTTTGTTCTGCGAAATCCTCTTAACCTCGTTCAACAAATCCCCATAGACTCTCATCTCCTCTTTGCACAATTTCCTTTATGCCACCCTAGAACCTACACACAACTCGTCGTTTCTCACTCCGATTCCACTCGAATTTCTGCCTGGTGCGCGATTTCAATCAGTGGTCTCCCAAGCGTGTGTCTAATCCGTCATCATTTTCTGCTGAATATTGTTCACCAGTAAATTACTGATTGGTTTTTTATCAGAGTTTCCTGTTGCTGAGTCTTTCAAACCGGCCATTTGACCTTCAATACAGAGAAAAGGCATATGCTAGTGGAAGCACTCAGTGATCAGTTGGAAATGCTTCCAAGTCTCTGAAACACAAAGCATGAGTGGTTTGACATTAGTGTTGAGAATACTCGTTTTGTTCTTTATGCTGAATTCAGAATGATGAAGGTGTGCCTTGACTTTCTGGCTGCGATTTTGACATCCTCACCCTTTCCCTCTTTGATTAAAATGGTGCTACCTAGATAGGTGAAGAAAGTGACCTCTTTCAAATTTCCACCGACGATAGTGACTAGTGCTCATTGTTTTTCTTTAGTTGCTTTTATCCCCTCAATCTCCTCCATATTCACTTGAAGTCCTGTCTTACCTGCCAGTCTCTTCTACCAACTTGTTTGTTCTCGCCTGTAAGTCATCGAATATATGTCATATTACACATAAACCGTCCGCGAAGTCCAGATGTTCTACAGTCTTCTAGTCGACCTAGAGTATTCTTATCTTCACAGTTCCGAGGCATAGTGATATTATGTGGCCTTTTCTCACTCCTGTATTCGCTTCAGGGGTTTCACTGAGTTTTTCGTTATGGATCACTTAACACGTGCCATTGCCATATAGCTATGCGATGAAATTGATATAGATTCGAGGCATTCCATAGTATTGAAGTAATTTCCAAATTACTTCATGCTCAAAGTTGCCGAAGGTCTTTTCAAAGTCTACGAAGTCGATACAAAGATTTGACTATCATTCTATGCTATGTAACGTTTAATTATCCCAAGTGAATTGAACAAGAAACTGTGATTATTTTAACTTTTATTCAGAACAAAAATAATATGAGTGAATAATTATTTTCAGTAACTTCTTCTTGGGGCTTTACAGTTATTATCTCATAAATATAGTCAGTTAAAGTAAATCAGAAAATACATTAGAGTACAGATGTAAGGTGAAGTAACAGTCTGATAATCTTGATTATTATTTAAATGTAGACAAAAAAATCCACGCACAATAAGAGCATAAGATAAAATGAGACATTAAACAATTAAGTGAGCTGCCTATGTGTTTACTATAATCAACAAAAATATAAGTTTCAATGGATGACTTATATTCAGTGATGTAAGACTAAATATGAATACTAGAAAATATAAACAAACAAATTAGATTCTCTGAATGTAAGTTGGAGAGAAACATTATATATATATATATATATATATATATATATATATATATATATATATATATATATATATGTGAATTTACAGTCAATAATAAAGTAAAGTAAGGAACCAAGTGACCTGTTTGTTTATTTATTATATATATATTTGCGACAGTGGCTGGTGGTTGCGCTGTATATATGGCGACTTGGCCATTAGAATTCATAGGCCATTCAATCGAGTCTCAGTGATCGGTATACAAGTTCGCCTTGTGACAAGAAGGTTCTGAGTTCAGACCCCTGTCAGTAGGTGTGTACTGATGAAGAGTCCCAGACTTGGATGATACAGTTGTCCAGTACTCCCAGGTTTTCCAGCGGTTCTCTAACCAATGTCAAATCGTGATCAAACCTGTAGTCTCATTTTACCTTACCTCCTTAACTGATGTACATTTTTAATACATTCCAAAAAAAAAAATCAAAATTAATCTACTACTATTCCATCTAGTAATTGCACCCAAATACAGTTTACAACTTGCCTTTACTGGCTATTGTTTTCGAACACTCATGAGTCTTCCACAAAGCTTGAAGGAGAACGTATTCTTCTTCTGAATACATTATGGAGATATTTAAGTTCTCTTCATTTCTGGAAGGTTGTCTTACTAGTGCGATCCCTTTTCCAACCACTTGGTACCAAAACAAATGTTGATGCTAATCTTTAAGGGTGAAATAATAAGTGAAAGTAAAGATAATTAGCAGGGTTCCTGGACAGTCCTATACTTCACAAGAATAATTTATTCCTGCAAAATGTATATTTATACAGCACTAATTCTTATTGTGTGCCTTAGTGCAGAATATTTACTCCATGTACAGCATCTTAAAGTACAGTAATAATCGTTAATATATTATTTGAAGCGACACCATTCTGTCCAAAGAATATTCAGATCCGTAGTGATATTATTTCTTTATTTCTTTCAAAAAATATCATGGATAACTACAAATTAAAAACCATTTAAAAATGAGCTTGAATGCAGATTGCTATTCAAGGACGTAATTAGATGATTAAAATAACATCAAATAGAGTAAATATTGTGCATTGTTTCCAGTTGGGAAATTAGTCAGCCTAGAGATTTAGGTAAACATTTGGTGATGAAGCATTCTCATATTGTGAATTCACTTATACGACTTAGTATGACATTCACAGAAGTAACATAGGTGTAAGTATGCTATTTGTTATTAAGTATTTTAGTGTCTAAATATACGGATATTATTTCATTAGTAAGAAAACAAATTTGTCCACTGTGTGTGTGTGTGTGGTTTTCTCGGCTACCTCTGTTATGTTACTGTTTACAGTTCTTAAGTGTAATGGTATAGTTATATGTACGGTTCTCTATGCACTTCAGTATTTGATTCAATTCTAAAAGCTTTTCTTGTCATAATACAATGTTTTCACAATGTTATATTTTCATTCTAGTTTCTGTCCTGAATTTCTAGACGTGTCGTATTCTTGACATTATCTGCTGGATTCTGTTTTATGTATAATCTCAGTTAATAAAGTAGCATATAGGAAATTTTCCTTTTCTTCTGACCAACTGAATAAACAAGAAGTGACAAGTGAGAATACCTATAGAGGCCATATGAGAAGATATTGGGTTATATAGGATGCTAGAACTCAAAATTATCATTATTATTCCTTTGAGTTCCATTCCGTCCACTTCTTTACAGTTCCCTTCAGCTCCTCTTCATGCAATCTCCTCCATGCCACCCATTTCATCGTTTCTCATTTGGGTTGCACTAGAGGGCATGGGACAGCGACGTTACTCAACGGTCGCCTTAGAGTTTACCTAATCCATCTGCATATTTTGTAGACATTTTTTTCAGATAGTAGGGGCTTGATTAGTTCGTTTCGAGGGTTCCCTGTTGCTGACACTTATCTGACCATCTGATTAATATTGATGGAAGGACAATGTTTCAATGGGAGTCAGAGCTGTTAGAAACTTTTTCGCGGTAAGCCAAGTCTCTGAACAATACTGAAGCTTTGACTTGACTTTAGTATTAAAAATCCAAGCTTTGGTCTTCATGCTATTTCAGTAGATTTCCAAACTGATTTAAGATTGGTAAGTGTGCGTTCTGCCTTTCCTGTTTTGGTTGGCCTAAACATCCCCTTCGTTGCCACCTGTAGTTGGGAAGATGCCTCCCTAACAAGTGAAGGAGGTCACTTCCTTAAAATGTTTCCAGCTGGTGACTGTTGTTGTTTACAGGTTATCTTCATCACCTCTGTCTTCCTTATGTTCACTTGAAGTCTCCTCCTCTCCGGAGCCTCTTCTCTTCTACAAAGCACAAAGTCTGTTTAACATGAGACATAGCTTACCTGCAAAATTCAAGTCTTCTAAGGTCTTTTGTCGATTAGACATATTTCACTCTGTTCGCTCACTGATCCAATAGGCCATGATCAGGAATACGATCAATTGTAGTAGGTTGCCTTGTCCTACCCGTGTCTACATGTAAAACCTGTGTGAGTAAACTGACATTTCTCATCATAATATGCCTGTTGAATGGAGGTGATAAAAATTTAGGGTACTTAATACCATTGGAGCAGTCTCTGTATCACTTCTCAGTCAAAGCTCTTCAGGGAGTTTCCAAGATGATGAGCTCAAGATGGATAAGATTTACCCTAACAGTTATGCATGCCTACTAATTTCAAAGATTTTGAAACCAGTTCCATGTGATGAGTACAAGATGAAATACCATACAGAAATCAATCATTGAATTTTATTATAATTATCTTGGATTTTCGACCAAGTAGTTTCTGAAGGACCATAGATATCCAGTAAGTGTGATATGAAATTAATACCTTAAAAGTAGCTCCCAACAGTGTGATTTTAACCACGTAAAAACACAGACTGACAGTGGCGTTATTTGCAGTAGGAATCTGCGCATAATTTCTTGTTGTCAGAATTTCAATACGTGTGACAAATGTTGCGAAATGTGAATATGACTCTGAAAAATGTTGTTGTTATCATCAGAGTGCTCAACTGGCGTGTGAACATCTGAAAGTGGTATTTTTCACAATGGATAAAACACACAACTAAGTTTCAGATAGTTTTTATGCATACTTAATATACACATGTATAGCGATCAGACTGAAGTGTTTTTGTGTGAACCTTAAATACCAATCTTCGCATTCTTCTGTGTAGTAAACCAAAACTTCCATGAGTTA